CTAAAGAAGATGAAATGAAATGAAAGTGACTTTTTAAATACCTACTACAGCACTGGGGTGGGCCCAGGAGCGGAGCGGAGCGGGGCTGGGCCGGCGGTGCAGGAGGTGGTGTTACTGCTGCTGCTGCTGCAACAGCAGCAGATGTTGCTCCTGCCATAGCTGTTGCTACTGTTGCTACTGTTGCTACTGTTGCTACTGTTGCTACTGTTGCTACTGTTGCTACTGTTGCTACTGTTGCTACTGTTGCTACTGTTGCTACTGTTGCTACTGTTGCTACTGTTGCTACTGTTGCTGCTGCTGCTGCTGCTGCTGCTGCTGCTGCTGCTGCTGCTTCTCATGCTGCTTCGGCGGCGGTAGCGGCGGCTGCGACCGCTTCTACTACCGCTGACGTCGGTGCCGATGGGACTCCTCGGCGGAAAGAGGTCGCAAACTTTAACTTGTAGAGGAAGACGCGACGTTGGTGGGCTGGGCGGGGCGGGAGAGTAGGGGCAGCCGGTGGTGCCGGGGGCGCCGTGGGCGAGGGGGCGGGGGGATAAAGGGCAGGGCGCGCTTCTCTGCGCGCCTCTGAGTATTCATCTTTGTTAAAAAGTAATAGAAAAGAATAAGAAGATAACCATAAAACAAGAAGAAGAGGATAAAGGAATAAGAAGCAGAAGAAGAAGAAGAGGAGGAGGAAGGAGAGGGAGAGGACAGGCGGTCAAATAGTAAGAGGATCTCATAGGCAGGGCCCTACTGCCGTTAGAGCCTTTCGACAGTTCCTCAGCATAGCAGCTGCCCGGGGACAGATGGCACCCAGTCAAGTGATGGTGGATAGAGCTTCATAACAAACCGTTGGGAAGCGACATCCAGTGAAGGCGTACCAATGTTCCTGACACAAGCTTTTATCATGGAAGTCGCTGCCTTATCTGACTTTGTATGTTCACCTTCGCATCTCAAGAATGAAGTGTTCGTTAATGTGTTGGCGACCTTGCCCAGCATTGTCATAAATCAAGTGGACTTCACCCACGTGACTAGGTATGTATAAAGCCGTCTTTCCACATCCGACGACAACGGCAGCCGGACAGGCTGTAGGTGAAATTGAGCCACCGACTTCAGGACAAACAGTGCCGAGATACACGGACTCAAACCTATCAAAGTAAAAGATTGATCAGCTTGAGGGGCATCTAAGCGCTCGTCTACTGAGCAATGCAGCATGGGCAAGATAGGTGTGACTTAGAATTGCAGGACCGTTCAAATATGCCCATGGCGATGAAGCCCGGTCATGAGGACATGACCAGCCATGTGGTCTTAAAGATCAGATACAAAATTGAGCTTAGTGCGTCATGGCATTCTCAAACAGAGTCCTCAGCTGGTCCCTCTCCCTCTCCACATCCTCTTCTAATCCTGGTGCAAGCATGAGCACCCTCCTCTGCGGCAGCGTGCCCTCGACGAGCCCGTCGATATCCTCGCTCTTGAATCCCAGCGCACCGATGCCGGCGGGCTGATCACCCAGATCGGCAAGGAACTTGGCTAGCGCATCGCCGAGCACGGCGCCAGCATCCTCCTTCCTGACGCGTGAGACATCAACGCCAAAGGCCTCTGCGGCAGCGAGGTGGCGCTCGGGGTTCGAGGGCCCCGTGAAGCGGAAGACAGTAGGGGCTGTGACGGCGACACTGACGCCGTGGGGGATGAGGGGGTGAGGCACGTCATAGCCGGCGTGGACGTACTTGGCCGGGTTCTGGCCGGAGAGGGGGTAGGACATGCCGTGGCAAAGATGGACGCCAGCGTTGCCGAAACCAACACCGGCGAGGGTAGCGGCGAGGAGCATCTCAGACTGGGCCTCTGCATCGTCGGGATTGCGGACGGCACGAGGCAGGTACTTGACGGTGCGCTGAAGGGCGTGGAAGGAGAAGACGTCACTGATAGGGTTGGCGCCTTGATAGGCCGGGCGGTTGATGGGGTTCGTGGGGCGGGGGGTGCGCTCCGTGTAGGGAATCGCAGTCCAGGACTCGAGGGCGTGACACAGCACGTCGAGACCAGAAGACGCCTTGACGGCAGCGGGCATGGTGGCCGTGTTGAGAGGGTCACAGATGCCAAGGGTGGGTTTGAGGTTGCGGTGGGCGACACCGGTCTTTGCACGTTTGGAGACAAGGTCGAAGATGGCAGTGCCAGTCGTCTCGGAGCCGGTGCCGGCTGTCGTGGGAACGGCGATGAGCGGCTTCAATGGTTTGTCTACGGGAAGGCCGCGGCCCAGAGGAGCATTGACAAAGTCAAGGA